GGATTTAAACAGACTTCAGGTGGGAGGTGAGAGATATTCCCTTAATGCACAGATGAGAAACTGAGGCACAGAGGGATTGAAGGACTCACTCCACGACTGAGCTATTCCCAGAGTCTGAGACAGAGACAGGAATAGGGATTATGTGCTCCAGAGTCAGAGCACTAAATCCATCCTGGGAAATCAAGATTCATTCCTCATCCCTCCTGCTACCTCCCTGGATGGCATTGGTGGGGAACGTGTCTTATCCCCAAGGGGTAACACTCATGGGATGCTTTTGTGGCTCAAGAAGATGAAATGGGGTTCATGATCTCTGGAAATGGGGTCAGTGACCCCACCTTGGGGTACATCACAGCTCTTCTGGAAGGGTGTGAGCCCCAGGGACTGTAGGGATGCTCCCACCTCCTGTCTCTGGGAGGCAGAAGGTGAGAATGGCAGGACTGGCCAGTCTGGAGCCAGAAGGTGTGTTGTTCAACTCATTCCCCAACTGCTGGGTGACAGGACAAGAGGAAACAGCCTCAGGCTGTGCCAGGGGAGGTTCAGGTTGGGTAGTAGGGAAAATTTGTTTACCAAAAGGATGGTCAGGCCCTGGCACAGGCTGCTCAGGGCAGAGGTGGAGTCAGCACCCTGGAGGAATTTAAATGGGGACATGGGTTAGTGGTGGCCTTGGCAGTGCTGGGTAAACAGTTGAACTGTTCAGGCTTTTCCAACCTGAACAAGTCCACGATTCTTTGATTTCATGATTGATCCAAGTTAATGTTGAAAAGTCAGGTTGCTGCTGCACTGGCTGATGCCAACAGTCTCTGCAGTCCTGCCTGCAGAGGGTTCAGGCTGTGATTAGTGATCCCAGTGACAACCTCGAGCTCTTATCTGTAACATTTATCAGCGTTATGAGCAGCAGAGGTTGGGCTCATGTTTCCCAGATGAGATGAGATGGGAAACCTTGCCAGGGAGTTAATACTTCTCTGCCTTAATGAAGCAGTCGAGGCTTTGCTGTGGGAGGAGAGACAATACATTTGCAGTGCATTAAGGTATTATTGTAACCATGTTTGTGCTGAGAGGTTTCTGATCCTCCGAAATAAAGATGAGCAGATTTGTCTCAAATTTATCAATGGAAGCAGAGTTCCCATTGAAATGGGAGGGAGGGGAGGGTGGTTGACATCCTGCTCACTGCCACAGCTGGGCTGCCACTCTCTGCCCAGCTGCTGGTGCTAACAGGGGACAAGGGGGGGGATGGTGGGTGAAAAACAACCCCAAAAATCTGCCTGGGAGATGTTGGGATCCATCAAGAAGGAAGGAACATTTCAAGGTGAAAGAAGGATGACAGGGCAGCCCCGAGGCTGGGAGTAACTGGGAGTCACAGTGAACATCCTGAGATGTTTTGTGCAGCCAGTGTTCCCCTGGGGAGGGATGCTGGGTGGATTCCCTCATGGTCTGGGTCTGGCTGTGTGAAGAGGCAAGCTACATGTCCCCTCTGCTGGAAAATCTGCCCTGGGAAGGGCACTAAGGGAGGAAAAACGTGATGCTTGCTCTGCTTCTTCATAGAAGCTGCGTCTGCTGTTCCAGGGCAGCCCGTAGGTAATTGCACAGGGGGATTTCTTAAATGGACATTAAGAATAAAATCAAATTTGTGGAGACCAGATGCAGCAGAGGAGATGGATGAAAAAGCAGAGGGAAATTTGCAGGGGGAAGTCTGAGACATCTTGCATTAGACAGCAAAGCCTTGAGGAGCAGGTTTGATGCTGCACTGAGCTCTGAGCTCACAGGAAAGCTCTGTCTGGGTTAGAAACCACAGAGATGTCCCTTCTCCTGCCCCTGTGCTCAGAAATCCAGGATTTGGGACTTGACCTAGACCACCTCTGTTGCTGCCTGACAAATTTTGGACTTGCTGCAGTTCCTGGATGCAAATCCCCCTGGGGAACTGGTGGAGGCTCATGGAGGAGGTGATGCTGTTGCTGCATCCCTGATGATGATCCAAACCTGGGCTGGAAAGCCCAGGAGAAGGCAGGAGCTGAGGGGTTATGGCTGGAGAGGAGGTGATCTGTCCCTCTGGCTGCCCTCTGCCTGCAGCTATGTTGCTGCCTGGTACAGCTTAATTGGCTTTGATAGGATTACAGGGAAGCAGCTGAGGAGTAAACAGGGCCAGGAGGACACACCATGCCTGGGGCCACCAGCCCCTGGAGAAATCCTTTGAGCCAGTGACTAAAGCTGCAGGAGTTCAAGGGTTAATGTCTGTGTGGGGCAAGGGCTTAATCCTTCTGGTTTCAAGGGAAATATTTTCCTAGCAGCATCCCAAAGGTCTGTGGCTCCATCATTAATTCCTGATGAGTTTGCCCCTGACAGATTCAGAGTAAATCATGGCAACTATGGAAGTTACACCTTGTTGCCTCCAGCATTGTGTCCTCAATAAATGTTTATGGTTTGAAGCAGCCTTGTTTGTTTGCCTTAGACCAGACGACACTGATTTATTGGCAGAAATCCTAGCAGGGAAAAAGGATGAGCCAGACAAGTTCTTAACTGCTACACACGACTGTGGTGAGGGCACGATGGCTATTTCATGTTTATGGAAATAAAGCCTCAAACTTGGATGGGAACTTTTGCCAGGAATTTTTCTCAACCTGCAAGCAACAAGGGGAACTCAAGGGTTAATGATGTTCCAGGGCTTTGCTTTCTGCTTTATCTGGGGTTTGGGATGGCTGGAAGATGCTGTGGGTTGGAAAGGAGGGGTGGATGCTCTTACTGGGAGCATGTTGCTGATGAGCAATATGAACTGCTGGAGGAATGATGGGGAAGCAGTACTGGGGATCCAGTGCTTCAATACCCTCATCCCAGGAGATCTGGACCCTCAAGGAAAACAGGTCTTAAAAGTGAGGCTTAAAGCCATGGAGGGAGATGGTGACAAGAGACTTGTGTCCAAGTCTGGGGCAAGGTGACATGACCTAGAGATGAGTGTCCCTGTGTGGAGCTGGGAGTCAATGTCCACCTTTTCATCCACACCTTGCTGGGGCTCATTCCTGTGGGAATCCTCCTTGATTTCTGGTGGCAGAGGTGTTTTCCACTCTGTCAGCAAAGAAGAAGGTGGGCTCAGCTCACTCAGACTCCATCCACGCTCTTCATCTGCCATTTAGAGCTCAGGCTCAGCTCTTACACCAATATTTGTCGTTGTTCCTCCCCCACCCAGATTTGTGTATTTTGGACAGCTTGTTTCTGATTTAAAGTATAAATAAGTTTAATTTTTTCATCTTTTGTTCTCCTTATCTTCTGGAGGCTGTGCTGGTTAAAAATAACCAGGAAGATGAGCTCAAGTGGGGATGGTGAAGGGGTTTTAACCTTCATCATGGTGGGACCACCCATCTGGCTCTGGAAGGGAAAGTGTTCTCCCTTCTCACTTCTCCCCAGCCCTCATGGTTGAGCTCTTGGTCCAGTGGAAGGTGTTCCTGCCCATGGCTCGGGTGTAGAATGAGATGAGATACAAAGTCCCTTCCAACTCAAAGCATTCCATGATTCTTTCCTAAGCCAGGAGTTCCCTGAATTGCATAAACCCCACTTGTCACATGACTGGAGATTGAAGTGCTTCTGGCTGTTGGGGTGAGTTGTGAAAATTGGAGGGGGTGTTGATGGGGGTGCAGAGATCAGAGGTTGCCCCTGATCCACATCTCCTGGAGACAGGGTGTTTCCCTGCGCTGAGTTCCTGCAGAGGAGGTTTTTCACCTGGAAAAGTCCCTTTTGCCCAGAATTGAACCATTTGCATAAGATCAACTGAAGGGAGAAAGAAAAAAAAATAAATAAAAACCAAAAAAACTGAAGGGTTTTGGTTTTCTTGCTGGAAAGTCTGAAAGACAGATTTGGGTCCAGCCTGAAACCTCCCTGGCCGAGGGCTGGCTCAGCTTTGCTTCTCTGTTTATTTTGAAGAGGAGCACACACACACACACACACACACACACACACACACACACACACACACACACACACACGTGTGTGCACATACATATGCACACACTCTCCTAGACAGAAAAAACAATCCCCAGCCTAACCCAGACGCTGATTCAAACCAACTGTTGTCTCTGGCTGCGCTGTCGGCTTTCCCCTGCCCACAGCCCTGCCACCGCGTGAAACCGTGGCTGAGAACCAACAGGCAGCCCCCAAAATCCAGAATAAAAATCACATTTCACACAGGGAAGGGCAGAAAAACTCTTTCTAGGCAGCGGTTCTGCCAG